TAATATCCCCCCTGACCGAAAATAATCTCCCCAAATGATCAGCCACAACACACCAAATAACCCAACCATTCTCACTACCCATTGTTCCCCAACCTGGCCAAATGAAGTCCCTCCCCAACCACTAAATATTCACATCAATATAGAGCCAAATCAAGTCCCAAATCAGTCACCCTTTGCCCCCTAATATGGCCGAACCAGCCCAGCCTAGAAACACAGCCCACATCCCTTAATATTTCCCCATCAAAAACCACAAACTAATGTCACCCAACACCCCACAAAATCCCTGATTCATCCCCCATGAAAGGACTCCATATTTGATTATTATTGTCAAAGATTTGTTAAGGAAAGAACTTGGTAGTTTCCCCTTTCTTGCTTGCTTATTTATATCGGCCATTGGCCATTGTTGTAACTCACTTTTTGAATCTGAAATTTCCATCAGTAATACACTTATGTGTTTGCTATTTTAAACCCCTAATTCTATATCTTAAGGGTGGTTACCTTAAGTGTGAGTTTTAGGTTCTAGTTATTTAAATAAGTGTGTTATATCTTATTTGAATACTAGATTCAACCCCAAGTTAGGAGAAGAGTGTGTAATATCTCTTAACACCAACTTGGTTTATCCAACACTTATTTCTAGCCATTTCTAATCCCACCATTTCTCTCCTGATCCTCCTTTCTTTTCTCATATTAAAAACCATTAAAAAGAACTCTTTCACACTCCATTCATTTCGCCTCTTGCTTGCCTTCAACATATTATCACATTTCCTCTCCGAAAAACCACAACTCTGTTAAGACCCCTAGTTCGAGATATATCAATAGGAGTAGCCAGGGTGTGACCGGAGCTGGGTGATAAGTCCATCTGGCCAGGCTTGTGGGAGGTATAGTGGTGTTAGGATGGGAAAGGTCCACATGAGGTGGATTTAAGGACACCGAAGGAAGAGGAGGGAAGAGGGGTAAAAAACCAGAAAAAGATTGGGAAAGAGGGGAAGGGGTGGACACCGAGTAGGGAAACTAATTTTCGTTAAACTAAACACGATGAGAGACATAGACTCGATTGGCGGATGGGTCGTAACACCAACATCCTTTTGATAACTAATCATACCCAATAAAGACATAACGTTGGGATGGGAGTAGGTAGGACGCATGCGATACAGAACCTCAAAGGGAGACTTATTATGAAGAGATCGTTTGGGCATACGGTCAATGAGGTAATTTGCCATAGCTAAAGCTTCAACCCAAAAAGTAGCCGAAAGAGAAGATGAGTAAAGAAGGGTGACTCTGGTTTCAATGAGATGGCGATGTTTACGCTCAGCTACCCCATTTTGTTCAGGTGTGTAAGGACAAGTCTTATGATGCAGGACCCCCAATTGTTGTAAAAAGAGACAAAACTGACAATTTACATATTCACGACAATTATCAGTTTGAAAATTTTTTATGTCTGTCCCGAACCAATTTCTGTTCATAGAGAAAAATTTGAAAGACATGGAAAGCATCATATTTATTTTTAATATGTACCAACAAAACTTTGTAAAATCATCATCAAATTTGATATAAAAATGATAACCACCATACGAAGAAACAAAGGTAGGACCCCAAACATCAGAATGAATTAATTGAAAAGGTGCAGTAGTAACAGTAGTAGATAAAGAAAAAGGTAAATTATGACATTTAGACATAGAACAAGAATCACACTAAGAATCATCAAACTCGGAACAGATTCCTAACTGACTAAACAACAATTTTGTAATTTGAAATGACGGATGACCAAGCCTACAATGCCACTGATGAGATGTCGCCTTTACGGAATTAGCCACTAGTGGACCCGCGGCAGGAGACACGGACGGACAACGAACATGGGCAGCGGAAGGAAGAGTGGACGTGACTAGTAAGGTGTATAAACCCCACTCACATGGGCCTTTGTATATCACTTTGTGGGTAGGATTGTCAAGGATCATAAATTCCTTAGAGTTAAAAAGAATGGAGCAGTTATTGTCAGAGGTAAATTGATGAACGGATAAGAGGTGGGTTAACATGGAAGAGATTAGAGATAGTGAAGATACCTAAAGGGGTAGAAACCTGTCTTGAGCCTACATAGGAGATTGGAAGAGATTGCCCTCTAGCAGTAGAAACAGAGTTTGAGCCGTGATATAAAGTAGGGTTATACAACCATGACAAATCAAAAGTCACATTAGTAGTTGCACCATGCCAATTATGATTGGGACTTGTAGGATAGGTAGTGTACAGAGCTTGAGAATTTGTAGCTTGTTGAGGAGGTCCTGAAAAATCTTCATCATAACGATTCCAGCAATGCCATGCACCATAAGATTTGACAACTAAGGGATCCATCACGTGACGAACCACGCCCTCGACCGTTAATCCGATTTTGTGGGAACCATCCTTCACTATTTGTGCACCCTCCTCTGCCATTACCTCGGCCTCCCGCCTCCTCCTCGGTTGCCGAAGAACCAACCACGACCCCGGCCCCGTCGATTATCCGCTCGGCAGCAAAGAGAGTCGTATGCACGGCATTAGAAAAATTCAGATGCAACATTTGCTCAATTTGAATGTTAAGTTCTTCATATAGTAGGGAAGAGAAAACCTGGTTAAAGGTAAGCCACGCAAAACACTGAGAATAATATCCTGTTCGGGTACTGGTTCACGTGCAAGGGCGAGGCAGTAACAATATTTAAGGCAATATCAAGGTAGGCTTGCATGGAAGATTGCTCTTTTCCGAGATTGTGAAGTTGTTCTTTGAGTTGAAAAATATGGGTGCGGGATAAAGAGTTATACTGTTGATGTAGGTGACTTTGAATTTCAGCAGCAGTAGAACAAAGATGGACCGAATTCTGGATTGACGGTGAGAGGAGAGCAAGGAGAGATGCACAAAGTTGGGCATCAATAATAACCCACTGTTTGTATGCCGAGTTTGCTTTCATAACCGGTTGTTTATCAGCACTAGCTGGTGCCTTTTCATCCAAAATTAATGTCGGTGGTGGTTTTTCAATACCATTGACATACTCGAACAAACGATGTGCCTCAAAGGTAGCCTTAACAGTGACCAGGATGGGTAATTATTGTCTTCCAACTTGACGGGAACAAGAGAGTGCAAGTTGCGAAGAAACAGTCTCAGGCCCTCCAGGGAGAGAGTCGAAAGGATCTTTGACAAATCCGGTGCCATTATGAACGTGAGAACAAAGTGCCTTCGTCGATGATGAAGGCGTTAACAGACTTCAGTAGAGCAGGCGAGGGACAAGCAACAAAGGCCGACATATTGATGAACCTGACAAACGGGAGATCGGATGAGAGACGAAGTGACAGACGCGGCCTCACGGACGATCATATTGACAACTCTCGTGGCGGCGATCAAGCCATACGGTGGTGAAGCTGTATGGAACCCTCTGATACCACATTGAATAATTGAACAATTGCATTATTTGAGAAATAATGAATTCAAGGTAGAGTATATATAGGAGGGGATACAATCCCATCCAGGACTAGGAAACAACAACAGATGCTAACTAAAATACTAAGAGGGTGTTTGGCACTGCTTTTAAAAATTTAGCTTCTACTGTGATTGGAAGTGGTTTCACTCTATTTGGAATGTCAGCTTCTGGGGATATTGACGGTGAGAGGAGAGCAAGGAGAGATGCACAAAGTTGGGCATCAATAATGACCCACTATTTGTATGCCGAGCTGTGATTCTTATCATATTTTTTTGTGCAGTTGGAGCCGGGGGCCTTTTGGAAACAGCCTCCCTACTTCCGAGTAGGGGCAAGGTCTGCGTACACACACCCTCCCCAGAACCTACTATAGTGGTATTCAACTGGGTTGTTGTTGTTGTTGTTGTTTGTATGCCGAGTTTGCTTACATAACCGGTTGTTTATCTGCACTAACTGGTGCCTTTTCATCCAAAATTAATGTCGGTGGTGGTTTTTCAATACCATCGACATACTCGAACAAACGATGTGCCTCAAAGGTAGCCTTAACAGTGACCAGGATGGGTAATTATTGTCTTCCAACTTGACGGGAACAAGAGAGTGCAAGTTGCGAAGAAACGGTCTCAGGCCCTCCAGGGAGAGAGTCGAAAGGATCTTTGACAAATCCGATGCCATTATGAACGTGAGAACAAAGTGCCTTCTTCGATGATGAAGGCGTTATCAGACTTCAGTAGAGCAAGCGAGGGACAAGCAACAGAGGCCGACGTATTGATGAACCTGACAAACGGGAGATCGGATGAGAGACGAAGTGACAGACGCGGCCTCACGGACGATCATATTGACAACTCTCGTGGCGGCGATCAAGCCATACGGTGGTGAAGCTGTATGGAACCCTTTGATACCACATTGAATAATTGAACAATTGCATTATTTGAGAAATAATGAATTCAAGGTAGAGTATATATAGGAGGGGATACAATCCCATCCAGGACTAGGAAACAACAACAAATGCTAACTAAAATACTAAGAGAGTGTTTGGCAGTGCGCTGTTTTTAAAAATTCAGCTTCTACTGTGATTGGAAGAGAGCGCAAGTTGCGAAGAAACAGTCTCAGGCCTCCAGGGAGAGAGTCAAAAGGATCTTTGACAGATCCGGTGCCATTATGAACGTGAGAACAGAGTGCCTTCGTCAATGATGAAGACGTTATCAGACTTCAGTAGAGCAGGCGAGGGACAAGCTACAAAGGCCGACGTATTGATGAACCTGACAAACGGGAGATTGGATGAGAGACGAAGCGACGCGGCCTCAGATTGACAACTTTGGTGGCGGCGATCAAGCTGTACGGTGGTGAAGCTGTATGGAACCCTCCGATACCACATTGAATAATTGAACAATTGCATTATTTGAGAAATAATGAATACAAGGTAGAGTAAATATAGGAGGGGATACAATCCCAACTAGGACTAGGAAACAACAACAGATGCTAACTAAAATACTAAGAGAGTGTTTGGCAGTGCGCTGCTTTTAAAATTTTAGCTTCTGCTTTGATTGAAAGTGGTTTCACTCTATTTGGCATGTCAGCTTCTGTTTCTCCACAACTATTTTGCACTCAGAACACCATTTCGGAGAAACAGTTATGAGATGCGTTTGCTTTCAGCTTTTGTGGAAATCACTTTATCCACAAACTTTATCCACAAGTTAATCAATTTCAAACACCTTCTAAGTCTACCATAATAAATATTAACTATAATCAATTGTCTAACAAACTATGATCAGATGTGATTGTTAGAATATAAATAACTCTTCCTGGGACACAACCACAAGCTTGAGCTTCTGGTGGAATTGGTTCCTTGACATGGTATCGGAGCCTTGTTGACTAAGAGGTCACAGGTTCGAAACTCAGTGCCACCCAGTTTTAAGAAAATTATAGTTTCACGTGCAAGGCTCGAAAAAAGACTACGCTTGCACGTGAGGGGGCGTGTTAGAATATAAATAACTCTTCCTGGGCCACAACCACAAGCTTGAGCTTCTGGTTGAATTGGTTCCTTGACAGTGATCGCATGTATATACAAGTATATAAATCGCATGTTTATCTATGTACGAATTAAAGAGAGAGAAAAACTCACACAAAAAAAGAAACAAAAGAAACAGAAGAAAAAATAACCCAATTCCATATAGAAGTTTAGGTACCGATAATCATTCCAATGGCGACAAATGTCAGTAGGCCCAAAACCATTCTCATCGCAACCGCCATTTTCCCGGGCACGCCGAGAGAAAAAGGGGAGAAGAAAGGAATAGTATTTAGTCGGTCTGGAAGACGGAACCGGTAATAAAGTCTTTACCATATCCGCAGTTAATATGGAGTACCTAAATCCACTCCCCCCATTTACCGTTTACGGAGAATTAAAGAATACAGGAGTAATTAATAAGAAATGATATGAGTTCTGAAATCTAAAACAAATTTGTTTGAAGAGATTTTTAAAATCATAATTTAATTAGTGATAAGCAGTGGTGACCAACAACGGTAGTGGTTCGTGTTGACAATTGTAGCCGGTGATGGAGAATGATCACTGGTTGAGAGAGATATCAAACCCTCATATTGATATCTCCTAAATTCGGGAGATATCGATATTCTCCATTTAAAGTATTTATGATATCTGGAGATTATCGAATTCGATATCTTTTTTACTTTACCAAAAACCTAAAAAAAATCTGATATCTGGAGATATCAAAAGTTATATCTTGTCTCCTCACAAAACACACCCTAAATTTAACAAACACTAATTTTACATCAGGATTATTCTATGAACTATTATTAATTCGTGTTACACACGCATTCATATGCATTTTAGATTTTTTAACATTTTCATAAAATCATATTTTAAATTAAAACATAGTTTTATTTCTTTTAATTTTTTACTAATAAATAGGGAGTATATGGTATGCATTATTTAAATTTTTTTTAATTAATACGTATGCTATATTTTTTAAATACAAGTTGTACTTTAAATAATGATGCATGTTTATTAATGTTTATATAAATTCTTTTTTTGACAAGTAATACAAATGAAAATGGTGAGTAGTTTTATAAAAAGTATATAGAGCTTTGTTTTTTAAACAAATAATAAATATTATGCAACCTTTTTTAAAATAATAAAATAATTTTGTAGATTAAAAAAATTGAAATGGTGAATGAATATTGGTTTAGTACTTAAAAAATGGAACATTTTATACAAAATTAGCTGTTGTAACCTAATATTAATGAAAGTTATTTTAGTTAATTAAATATTTAAATAACATATGTGAAATCAAAGTTTTTAAAATTAAATTTATTAAAATTTATACGGAGTATTTTTTTTTCAAATGCAATATCATGAAAAAATGGTGGGTTGTTTTATAAAATTATATATAATGTGGTTTTCTAAATTTATAAAGTTTTATAAATTTTTTAAATAATAACATAATTATGTGTACAAAGAGTACATCACATTCAAAAAAAAGCAGAATTATGTGTACAAAGTGTGCTTACTTGACGGTGTTTTTAGTGTTTTAAGGAGTGCTATCACCACCCAACAAATAATTTTGTCTTGCCATTTTACTTCTTTCTTCCTCGGTAAATTTGTGTCTTTCATACAAAATAAATTTATAAATTTTCTTATAAAAAACGACTAAATTTACCTGACCATTTTACTTCTTTCATTCTAAAAATTTTCCTTATTTATCGTTTGTACCCGGATACAAAACTTCACTTTGATGTAAAAAAAATTTCAAACATAACGACTAAATAGACAAAATGTACCTCTCCAGTATATTACCACTAATTTTAAGAACTCTCAGAGTATATATATATATTTATAATAGTATAAAAGCTAAAGGTTCTTACCAAATCGAAGGTACTAAGAGCATGCGCAGCGGCGAGGCATTTCCTCGCTCGCTGCGCCACATTAGCATTCTCGGCACTTTTGCCTCACGTGGCTTCAGCCTCCCTCCACGCCAAGCATGTGAGGCACGAGGCATCTTCAAATTTTTTTTTTATTTTTTTATTTTTTTTTAGAAGAAATAATTTTTTTAAAAAAAAGAGTACATCTATATAAAAAAAGATAAATGAAATATTTTTTAATAATTAAAATGCATTAAAAAAATCATAAAAAATGACAAAAACAATGACTTGCCACTGTACGAGATGCCTCTCCACTCACTTGCCATACGCTGACTGGATTATCTTTTATTGGTTGAAATATGTCACGTCAACGTGTAGCATTTCATTTAATTACTTGTCATTGCCCGTGCTCTAACGTGCTCTAAACATATTTGAGAAGATGTAGGACCCTGCGGTTGTCTCCTCAAATCTATACGCTAGTGGCCTCAAGCCTTGAAGTCCAGCTATCACGGTTGTTTTTTACCATCATTAGTTTCAGGTTTAAAAAAATAGAATTAATTCAATTTAATAACCGATTCAATTTGAGCATACACCTTAAAAAATCATTCCATCTTTCCAAAAAAAATTACTCCATTTAATTTCCCAGGATCTTCAATACAAATATTTTAAATTTTAAAATGACCTTCGTTAATATACAATTATGCATTCCATATTCAAAAATATGGAGTACAAAATTTGAAAGTTATGTTTTGAAACCAATCAAACAATATTAAATTCATATTATAACACTGCATTTTTTCTACATGCTTTGGTCAAAATTTAAATCAGTTACATTTTACCATAGCAAAATAGGATAAAAGGGTCTTTGTGGATTTTGAGAACGTAGGATATACCAAGTCGCAAACCGTGAAATAAACCAATAGCACGAAGTACTACACCAAAAGACTAACCCGGCAAAATAAACGCCACGAATTTGATGAATCCCATAAGCAATAGCTTACAACCAAAAATCAATCAATGGTGTAACACTACAAACTGAGACCACATACAAAAATTGCAGGGCAAACCCCAAGAGTTAGGGAACCACATCCACCAACTTAGGGATAGCAATACAAAGATATCTTGAGCAACAAATGTATGTATTGCGTTTAACCTAAACGGACCGAAATATCCGGGGTCCTTAATCAACCACTATGACTCATTTTTTTTGTATAAATAAATAAATAAAACACCAAAAACGAAAGATGGACATGTGAGCAAGAGACATCTTCCTATGTAGAAGAGCAGTCATGCCCAATCCTACTACTACTACTCAACGGGGGCAACGGGAAGCAGCCCTCTGTGACAGCTTTTGGCTCAGACTAGTTTTACAATCTCGGTCACTCTTTCGTACTCATCAAGACGTAAAACCCAGCGAAGCGACTCAATTCAAATGGACTTCACGGCACACGGTTGCCTTCAGCAATTACTGAATGGCTGTGATATGGGGAGGGGCACTAGGAGATGATGGTATTACCTGAGTATAAATGCTTATAATGAGTGGGGTGCACCGTCTGACGCCTTCTGCATGTTTTCCTTTTCAATTTCAACTCTCCTCTGCTCAGCATGCTGAGCAACACCATTTGCAAGAGCCTGGTAATGGAAGTCTAGAGTCTGGGTGAGATTCTGGAACCTCAAGGGGTCAGATGCTTGAAGAGCTGGAATTTACCAACATACATCAAATATAAGGCCACCTCATTTTACCCACGCCAGTAAAAAACAAGGCTTTTAAATAAGTAAATAAATAAAAGATGAACTAGTCATACATACCCTTAACAGAATCCACCAAGAAAATAAAAGGATCCACATCATCAAGAGGTGATTGCATCTCATCATCACTAAAATTGTCTTCATCAGAGAAATCATAATCTGCATCCTCTATTGTGCCGAAAGCCTTTGCCTAGAACAAAGAAAATGTCAGCATGTGAGGAAGTAGAACCGACATTTCTTTTTTTACTCATGGGAACATTGTATAAAAAGGGAACTAATTTTATTATTTTTATACAAAACCCAAGGTATATGGCATCACACCACATTCTGATGCCGATTGCTGAAAGAGAATTAACTCAGCTTGGAAGCATAGTGTTACAATTACAGAGAAAAGATGAACTATATCCATTTGCAATGCAACTATTGCAAAAATACTATCACAAGAGGTGTTAAGAGGATGAAGGACCATCTCATTTGTACTAGAAATAAAGTCAATCCTTGTAAAGAACTTGAGAAGTTAAGAAACTACATGTGGGGTATTTGAATAAAGAGGCTGTAAAAAATTGGCAATACAAGATTTTGTAGTGTTTCAGTGTATTCTTACTTCAGTAGTTGGATGGAGGGTGAGGGTCAAGCTAATGCATTGAAATGCTAGGGGAGTTTGACCCTATCATTCAAGAGCACATTCGACGTGTAAAAAACAGTGACATTCATCATCATTATCTTAGTCATAAGATTCAAAATGAGTTGATCGAGTTGCTTGCTTCAGAAACAAGAAAAAATACTGTAGAAAATAAAAGAAACAAAACATTATTCAGTGATACTTTTTTCTTAGGAAATTATTCAGTGATACTTGATTGTACTCCTGATGCTAGTTACCAAGAAAAAATGACTTTGATTTTAAGATGTATGGATGTCTCAACTCATCCAAATATAGTTGAAGAATTTCTTTATTCTAATGACCATCCTCCAAGGGGTATCACCAGGCCTATGGGCAAATTTGTGGTGAATACATATGGTATTCATGATCTTGAAAACAAAGCAGCCCAAAGTTCAACTTTCACAATGTAATATCCTTTGATGAGGCAAGAAGGCTATTTATTAATATGATTCATTTTGTTGGCCCATTTTGTAAGGAGCTCAAACCTCCCATGTATGCCCTTAGGACTTGGTTACTAAAAGAGGAGATAAATACAAATCAGAAAGTGGTTGATGAAATAAAATCAACAAGGTCACACACAGGAGTTACAATTGCGTGTGATGGTTGGGAAATACTAAGCATATAATTAATTTTTTATATGGATAATCCAAGTGGCATTATTCTCTTGATAAGTGTTGATGCACATGCACACATCAATTACGCAAAGCTATTGTTCAAATTGCACAATGATACTATCAATGAAGTTGGGTAAGATCTTGTTGTCCAGCTTTGAAAAGATCATGCATATAACTACAAGAAAGTAGGGTAAGTGCTAATGGAGAAAAGACCATATCTGTATTGGACTCCAAGTACTGCTCATTGCAGTGACTTCGTGCTTGAGGAAATTGAAGAATTTCCAAATAACAAGTATGCTATGATCAAAGAGTAGAAAGTGAGCAACGACATTTAAGATCAAGGTTTTAAAAGACAAGACCAGGCTTAAAGGTGGAGAAACTTTGTAGCTTAGGTGAAAGCCTTGAGACGGAAGGAGATGAAGAAGACAAGAAAAGAAGATATGGTTGTTGTATTGCTGCTATTAGGCTGAAACATAATTAAGAAAAAAATGCCTGTCATAAGAGAAAGAAAGAGTTGGATCCATGTAGCCAAATGTCTTCAAGACAAAGCAAGTTATAAATTGTTAAAATAAATAGAGTAAAAAAATGAATCCAAAAAACTGAGAAAACAAATAAAAATGACATGAGCAAAGAAAAACCGCATCGAAGAACAAACAGAAAGAATGGATTAGGATTAGAAAATAAACTTGCAAAGGCTGAAGAAAAAAACAGAATAAATCTGGCAAAAAATATGAAGAATAAAAGAGGTGTGAATGTCCAAGGTTTGTGTGGTGAAGACAACTCTAAGACGCAGATTAGTCAAATGAGCCTGGAAGTCGCAGACTACTCTTTGTCTTCGAGATGAGAGGCGATGGGAGGGGCGATCTGAATTTTTGGTCTCTGGAGCTGAATATGGAAGGCGAGAAAGGCGATTGCCTAGGGCAGCAATTGAGGAGAGAGACAACCACCTTAGGTGCACCTTAAGGATGTCGCCTGGATCCCTAGAGGCATTGCATACTCGCCTGATGCGCCTTAAGGTAGAGAGGCAAACACCTTTTAAAACTATGCCCTCACACAAGTATCTTTTTGCTAAGTTATTTTTTCACCTGTGCTGCCAATTTTTGGAGCTTTAGGCTGTCCACCTCATCCTCATCATCATCCCCCATTTCTCTGTCAGACCCTTCTTCTTCATTGTCATCATTATGATATCCATTCATGTCATCCCCCTCATCGGCTTCCTCTTCCTTGGCAGCTTCTGGTAACATTTAAAGCAGCAAAATAAGCTCAAACATCAAGGGCAATGAGCAAACAAAATGACATGAGCAACTAATGGAAAAACCCCCATTTAAGGAATGTTGTAAAAAACAAATTATCTATCAACCTGCAAGTTGTTCTTTGTAAGCAACAAGAAGGTCAAGAACCGCCTTAAAAATGCGCTCTAATGCTGCAGTTGGAATTTGATCACCAGGAAGAGTTAGTAATGATGTCAAGCCTAAACAGCAAACCTTCTTGTCATGTTCCCTGCAACACGAATATACTAAAAATTATAAATGAAATTGGCCTTTCATTATTTTTTCCTAGCCATTTTCTGCATCTCTCTATATGAACAACAAAAACAAAAATATTATACTTTTTAAAATTAGCCCGGGATCCACTTTTTTTAGTTTGTTGCAGCAGCTGAAACCAAAGATTGAATATTTCTGTTGCAACGCCAAGCTTTTGCAAAATGCTCATTGTTAATGATGGGTTATAGTAAAGAGCATCAGCAACCTGCAAGTCGGAAGCTAATGTGAGTATTTTCAAGGGAGAAAAAAGAAGACCAGTATCACAAAACTTAGTTCAACAGCATTACAATAAGAAATTCAATCAATGATCTAAGAGGAGAACTAGCAAATATTTACATACAAAGAAAAAAGTCCAAGTATAAATAGTTTTAGTTCAAATAGATCTACTAACTGGAGAAATTTGAAAAAGCCAAGAAGTAAAAGACAATGTTGAAGCATCCAACCACTAGGATCAAAAGGCATTTCAAGTCTAAGTTTTGGGTTCGACGCAGGCGCTCGAATGAGATTCTGAGGTACGGTTCAACCCAGTGATCCACCCTTCCTTTGCAATTCTGAAATACAACTGCAATGAGCTTAGGTGCTGACTTAATGTCAGCATCTTCCAAGTTCTTATCACCCATGACCTGTAATGAAAACAAAAAGGGTAATAATATTATACGAAATGCTCTTTGCTTGTCAATCGATGTTAATCAATTTAAAGAAAAGGTGTATTTCTAACACGATGTTTGGTTCATGGAATCCGGATGGAAAAGAAAAGAAACTAGTTTTCTCTCATTTTCCTCACAAAAATGGAAAGAATTTTGTTTTCCCTCATCTTAGTACATTTGGTCTTCTCATTTTCTTTTCCTTCCACTTTCTTTTCTTCTCTAAGCAAACAAGATAAATTATTTTCCATCTCATTTTCTTTTCTTTTCTCATTCAAATTCCTCTAACCATAGTGTAAAAGAGCCAAAAGCTTACAGTCGAGATCATATTCCAAAGGCTTTGTTGGTAGTCCGGTTCTTTGCATGTGAGAAAATGTTCAGTGCCTCTCGATATGTAGTTGTCCAACGGAACCAATATATCTGCAAAATATATCAAATCACATCAAGCATGTGTGCACAATGACACAAAAGCATACAGCACACATACACAAGACTTAATGATTCTGTATATCATCTTGAAATGCAACAAGTAGAAATAAAGTGATAAAAGCAAAAAACTGAACAGAATTATTGGGGTCAAAAAAACATAACGAACTGACTAGGGAATAATTGTTTTTTTCTATTTAAAAAACAACCATACAGAGTTTAGTAAACATACTTGGGAAGAAATCAATTGCCCAATCCGCAAGTGCCTCAATCAACAACGGCCAGAGGCTCCACATATTCATTGATATTGTCGGTGAGAAAAATGTCATATAAGAAACAATCTCCAAAACCTCTTCATAAACCTCTAAAAAATCATGGATTAAAGAATATCAAGACTTTATTCAGAGATGAAAGGAAAATATTTAGAGCACATAAATTCAAGGTTCAATTGCATTGCTATTTTTTATGTGACGTTAGACATTAGATGGCACAAAAAGGCACCACCACAAGTACGAAGAACACACCAAAAAGAATCAAACAGCAAGAAAAACTACTCTGCAAGTTTGAGCCTATAGATCAACTGCANAGTACCTTGACCTTCGGTTGTAAGCATCCTGCGCATTATAGGCAGCAGAATTGGCTCAATATGTTCGAAAAGATGTGGGAGGCGATTCACTGACTCAAGTATTGTGCTTATGGCACGCAAACAACCAACAGCAGCCAAAGCACCAGGGTCATCACCGTCATTGTCAGCTTCAGATGTGTTAATACATTTCCAAAATGCAGCAGCCTATAACAACACCTATGTTAGGGTACAATGGAAGATGTGAATTTCATTAAACGCACTAGGAATGACTCTCACAAGATTCTGGCATAACCCAAGAGCAAACGGGGACATCTCCTCCCCAAACTTGTCAACAATGGTCTCTAGTGTGAAAACAAGATCTTCATTCTCAACCTCATTCATAAGTTTGAAGAACTCTAAAATGGGGGGGAAAATTATTAATGAATAACAGTGAGGAAAAAATGATAAACATGTTAGCCAAGAACAACCCATGCAAAGGTCTGTTGGAACCACTGACATACCATCAAGTAACTGAGGAAGTATCGGGCGGATTTCATTCAAATCTGCAGTTTAAACAAACCTCAGTAAGAAATGGTTGCTAGGAACCCCCCCCCCCAAGGATACCGGCAGAGTATACCTTTGCAAGCTTCTATAAACGACCGCAAAGCAAATACCGAATCTATCCGAACAGGTAGTTCAGGATCACGCATTCCAGCAACAACGCTATGCAATGCCTTGACAAAATTAATTGGATCTGAGAAGTCAATATGTGCATATTGTCCAGCAACCCATGCCGCCTAGTATCAAAGAGAAATGGAAATGGGTGTAGTTCAGAACATCGCCAATGGGTGTTGTTGAAAATTAAAAATGTTTTAAATGAATACAAGGATCTAGTCTAATCGGATCCATAAAGGTGAAAGAAAAGTAGAAAACATCACTTCACATTGCAGGTTCTGCAGTTGGCTTGGCTTCCTAGTTACCTAACTGTCTTATTACCTTCCCTTTGTTTTCTTAGTTATTCTAGTTGGTTTTTAGGCATTTCTTGTCTTAATAGTCTGAGCCTTGCACTATGGGCATTGTCTTAGTAGCCTTGGTGTGATCCCCCCACCCCCTCAAAAAAAATGATGATGATATTTACAATGATGTTGGCTTAGTAGTCTGGCAGAACACAATCAAATGATTAATGATGTCAAATGTTATGAAATGGTTCTGGGTAAAGTTCAAGTCAAACGGAATCAAATTTACAGAGCAGTAGATGCAAAAGAGCCAAAAAACACGCACCTTGGCACGAAGATGACCTGCAGGACTACTAAATTCAGGGAAAACATGCTGCACAAGCATTCGCTCAAGCTCATATTTATATGGCTCAGTTTTTTTCAGTTTATCACAAAGTATCCCAATTGAAAGGAGAGCACCATCCTTTTGCCTGAATGGTTTGCATTCTGGTGGTGACTCGTCATATCTAAATTACATATAGAATATAAAGACAAAAGATGACATTTTTGTTAGCGTTTATCTTTCTAAATGCACCCTTGTACAGATAAGCAAAATAGCTGGTATACATATACCTTTTAAAGACCTCTACAATGAAGAGGACAAACTTTTGAAGGTTCTCTTTGCCACGCCTTCTTACCAACTCACTTACAAAATCCATCGCCGCAGTTTTAGGACTATATAGATCTTCAATTATGTCTGAAGCAAAATACTTCAAAAGTTCAAATTCTAAAGATAAAATGCATATACAACCTCTCTACCCTGCACAGGTAGGGGTGAGGTCTCTGTCCTTCCTACCCTCCCAAAAACCCACTTGTGGGAATACACTGGATTTGTTGTTGTAGAAAAAGATCCATTAACTTTACTTACCATAACCTTTACGAACATACTCATAGGGGTCTTCATCCCATAGCTTTTTATCATTGTCGGTAAAGCACATGAGTGGAAAAATAATTTCAAAGAGAAGAACATCAAGTCTTGGCCGTAGCAGACTGTACAAGTTACTCTTCGAAATGCTGCATGGTCAACAACAAATAAGGGTGAATAAGGAGTGCAGAAACAAGTTGTTGATGTAGAATTGTAGATGATTGACTCCCTCCAACTCAGTTTCTCTATCTTACTCATGCTACCAGTCAAGGCTAACAATATTATTTCACTCAATTTTGTATAAGTTAATATAATACAAGCAATTTAAACTCATTGCTTAAAAAGTACATCAAAAGTCTTACAAACCATATTGTTCTATTACTGTTCATAATTAATTACATTTACTTCCATGAGCTTGGTAAAATTACAAAACCATCCCAGAGATGTCTGAAAAATGTATAAACCCTTTGAGCCATAGTTGTGAATGGCGAGTGGCAGGCGAGAGGTCCTTTTTTATGGCGAGAAGCGTGGCGAGCGGCGAGCGGTCAAAGGGTTTATATATTAACTCTTAAACAAAAACAATTATCAAAGTAAAACATGCGTTGTTGGTAAAACAAAAAACAAATCAATGTTCCAAGCTATTAGTCATTAAACATTGCAAAATATAGTACTTAAAAAGAAAGCAGAAGAAATAATTGGTACAAAAATATATATCTATAAGAATATAATAATACACATAGTGAAAAAGAATAAGACTAGAAAAACAAAAATAATTTGTGACAAATACATAATCTGTGACCTGCAGTTGTGTCAATCAAGCAAACAAGAAATTAAACAAAATCTGAAAATCATAATAATTATAATAATCATCATCATTACACATTATATGGGTTAAAAAATCAATTAAAAAATTTAAGAATATTATCTACAGAGTTGGGCCTGGTTTGAGTTGGACTTGCGCTGGGCTGGGGACAAGTAATAGCGCTGCTCCCCTGCCAATTGCGATGAAGATCTCCAGAAGGATCGAGACTCTGCGACCGCGATGGACTCTGGAGCAGTTGCGATCTTGGGGAGCCGCACAATTTCGATCGGATGTATCGAAACGACACATCAAGGTCAGTTTTTTTTCACATGCGCAAGGTGTGGATTGCGCTCGCCACAAACCATGGCGTCTATGGCGACTGCCTGTAGTGCACCTCCCATAAAACACCATGCCACATCCATCCCAGGCGGAATTACCTCGCCACAGTGCTTATAGCGCCATAAGCGCAAAAAGCGATCGCCATTCATGACTATGCTTTGAGCATTTTCTTTTTTAAGCATTGTGCGGCGTACGCAGGCTTAAGCCTCAGAGGTGAAATGCAACCACCTTACCGCCTCGAGGCAGACCGCCTTGGTCGCCTTTTAAAACCATGAGACATGGAAATATGTAATGCAAGTTCAAGAACTAAAAAAGTTATATCAATGGCCATTTCAAAAACAATAAAAAATTGGAGTCAAGCAGTACCATTACTACTGAATCATGCCATAGTACTGTACAATGAAGTGAAAAACATACATGCCTGGGCAGAGATGAAACAGCAGAAAGATTATAAACAATTCAAAATGTCATAAATTAAAAATAATAACATAAACAAACCTGTTACTTAAATATTGCAAAAGATAGTTGGTCACCCTATCAGGTAAATATCCACCAGCTCGGATAACATTTAGCAAATTAAGGTGGCATTCCAAAATTCTTGCTGCATAGTTCTTCTGAAACATCTGGGCAAAAGCTTTGTTCTCCGGATTTTTTTGTTGCGAATCTCCAAATCTGGGGATGATAGAGAATGTCAAACCAAAAGGATAAAAGAGAACGTGCATGCCCATGTGTATATGTCAAAGATTAGAACCTGGTGTAAAGACGGTTTAAAATGTGCACTGTCCATTTTTTTACTTTCCACCATCCCCATGATTTTCTTAGCTCGGGATCAATTGGCTGCCCTTCCTGAGGAACAGGCCTTTCCAGCATACTCACGAAAAGAACCATCCATGCATTAAATATATTTGGATCAAACAACTGCTTTGGAATCTCAAGCTGGAAAATAATTAATAGTCAAGTCAAATCCAATCCAGTTTCTTATATCAAAAAATAAACTGCATATATTGCATCATGGAGACCACGAACAAAATCCTCAACATATAGATTAAAACTGTTGTTAAGTGAAAAAAAACCACCCTGAAAAAAGCCAGATGGGATAAAATGGTGACCCTGGAATTATATATTGGCTAAAAGATAATGGACAATCACTTTATCTTGCTATTTATACTCATGTCAGGAAATGTCACCATTCATAATATTTGCATATGCAAAAATACTTAGAGTAATAACATACATATATAGAAGACCAGAATATTTTGCAGATAAGCTTGACGAGATCTGCTACTTCAATTGAAGGGTTTGTAATCTGAACAAGCCTGTTAAAAATGTTTAGGAGATATGGAAATGTTTCTTCAACAATCTGGTGTATGGGTTCTCTCTCTTCATCCGATTTGAACCTGTAATTGGAGAAAATAACACATCATAATCTTTACCTTGGTTAGAAGAAAGTGCACGTTGTGGATCTAGAGCCATTTGTACTTTGTCATGATCAAAAGCCAATGGCTTTGAGAAAAGAAAAATCAAGATTACTTGTACATGAACATATGGGAGACATTCTCTAATGAAGAACACCCAAATAGCATTGCATGATATATAACCTCTATATAATCCATGAAGACTTGACCCAGCATAATAAATACATAAGTGCATGCAAAATGACATGTAAAAGTTTCTCAAATAAAAAGTGTACTCCCTCCATCCCAAAATGAGGTTTACGGATTCACTTCACGGAGAAAGTGTAGAAAAGTAAAAAGTGTGTCATCGAAAGTTGTTTAGATTAGAGAAAACTTGTGAGCCACGCATTCTTTTCTTTAAAAGGAAAGTGTAAACTTTGTTTTGGGATGGGAGGAGTACATGAAAGTTAACAGACCAATCTTCAACATCTGGAAGATGTGTATATTCACTTGATCAAAACATAGAAACTGAACTGAAATGATAATGTGCTAGTGAGATACACGACATGAGTAAGTTTCCATATTTCATAAAAAGTTTCTTTCAAATTTACTATGTTAAGTGCTGAAACATTGTTTATAGCTAAATACTAATGTATATGGTTTGATAATGAACGTTATTCCTTAAATAGATGAATACTTGAGGTGACAACATAAATCAACAGGTAAGTGTTTAAAAGGATGCCACAGTAGATCAAATCATAAAATGAAGATAGTTATAATGTATAGTATCATTGAATCACGATTTACAAACTCACTCATATTTTCTTGAGAGGGTCCTAAGAACAAATAAAGCTCCATAGACTTGTTGATCCTGCAAATTATGCTTTATCCAAGATAAAAGTGTTGGCCACTGCTCAGGATAGTCTGCGTAAATAATGGTCTTTAGGCACTCTCCCAGTTGCACTCTGGTTACAGAAACAAGTTCAAGAGAAAAGTCATGTCAATTATTATTGTAGGTTTAATGTTTGTTACTGGTATGAAAATGAAAGCATGTGCAATCATGCTTCAACAACGTACATGTATAATACAAATGTTGTGTGCGGAGTACTGATTAATGGCACATGGCAAAAAAACACTTTTGTGTCAGCCACTTAACCCTATACTGACTCCAACTTTACACACACAAATAGTGATCTAATAATAAGATAACATAGTTACAATGAAAGCAGACAACGAAACATCAAAGGATACAATAAAAATATATTAGTCCCAAAAAAAATCTTGTTAGGTCAAGGAACAACATTTGTCATTTTTTATGGTGCAACTATTTAGAGCCATTGAATCATACATGTATTTTTAAAATTTATTTATTGGTTAAAATAAATCTCTAAATGTATCAAACATAACTTATATTGAGTTTGTTTTTAACTTTTTTTTAAACATACCAGCTTGAGGAGAGGAGTATTCAAATATATAATCTTTACTAACAGCAAGTATAGTTATAGAATTGTACAGACTTGCTTTCTATATCTCCTTTTTCTTGTTTGTGTGCGTTCCTTTTCTAGGGACCATTGTAAATGGAGTAAAAAGAATCCTTTTTGGCAATGCATTAGCTTTGGGTTAATATTGGAGTAAACCATAATGCGCACTGAACTTCCCTTGCTTCTAACTTTTTATGAAGTTTTTGGGCAATACATGCATCAAGAGGCTAATGGAGACAATCTTTCTTCGGGGATAAGGTTGCGAACATCTGGATAGCACCCCCCCTCCCCTCCAAAGGCCTCCGGATTTGTTGTATGCTTCATTTTCTTTCACCATATGGACCAAGCTCCTCAATGGAAAGCTTGGTATATGTGACCTCTAAGAGGTGTTTCTTAGGCTGTTTCTCGTGATAATCAAGTTGGGAGTAGAGTTTGCTTAGATACAAAGTTGGTACTAAAGTACTATTTTGATTGTGCACAGAGCACCAAAGTCAAGAGGTCCAATCGCAAGAATCGAGCAAAAGCTTAGGCAACTTCGGCCAACTTGGTCCCAATTCTGCGTGACACTTGATGCGCCACAAACCCACAGCCTACACGGCCCATAGATTAGTTCACCTCTGCAGTCTGCACCTATTTCATTGGGATCATCGTTATATGTTAATTAGTTTGGTGTGGTTACTTGTCCATTTAGATAAATTTCTTAGGTTGGTTCAATTAGAGTAGCCAATTAAGGAGTATAGATGCACACAAAGTTGTTCCAACAAATCTGAAATCACTGACAAATGATTCAGGGTCACTCTAGTGTTAACAACACACTTGAAAGTATTGATCGTGAGAGTCCAAAGGAGAACATCTTATGGCATCCTAAAAACTAGATGATTTAAACCTTTTGGATTGGTGTAAACCGTAGAAATATGTCAAAACTTGACCATTGGGTCAAGAACTACATGAACTTTAATGAGTGATACTTCAATTGATAGTTTGATTTGGGGAAAAGAAAAATTGGTGAAATTCCTTCGGCAGTCCACTTCTTCAAATCTGATGGTACACTTCTAAAAATATAGCCAAATATTGTATATTCAAATTCACTTTCAACATTTTGATAATATGTATACATTTTCTGTTAAATGCTTTACATAAATACTTTGAACCTGTGCAAAATAAATCTAGTGGGATGTTACATGTATCATAATAGTGATGATCTGACAAAATAATTACGTAGTAGAAAAACTTGATAATATGTACTTCATTCTAAAATAGTAACACCTGACAGTTTCAAATTTTCCGGGGCACGAATTAAAACATTAATATCATCAATTATATTTTAAAAAAATTACAAGGATGTATATGTTTTTGTGTTGCATGCTTTACATAAGTACTTTGAATCTGTGCAAAATCAATCGCTAACTAATGCCATTATTTCTATAATTGGGGAACCCATTGAATGTCTCTTTGAAATTCCCCCGGCTTAGCTATGGGTTACTCTGACATTAGTTATTTGCTTGTTTTAGAAACTTCAACATTTGTCTTCGATTCCAGTCGAAAAGGTGGAGTCCTGGACTGGACGATCGCCCCCAATGTTCATATTGTACGTGTATAAGCCACACTCAAGAGCAATGTTATTTGTTGCATGGTTTTCCATACAAGAAAGTAAATATTATACTTTATATATATATATATATATATATATATATGACATCTTGAAAGATTTAGGGATTGTGGGTTGTTGAATTGTATATAGAGTCCTATTGGATTTCAATTCAAATGTTAAATTCATACATTTGTTGTCAATCTCTTGACTCTCCTAGAATTTCATTAAAACAAGGTTATCCTCATTTTAAAATATCTAAAAGAGTTTTCTCGTAAAAGGATTGTTGTTTAAGAAAATACCAATATTATAGCATATGAAGGGTTTTACCAGCCTTTGGGTACGAAAGAAGGAGAAAGATGTATTTACAAAATCACAAAGGGTCGAGAAAGAAAGATGCGAGATTTGGACCAAGTTAAGTGCATTAAAGATAAGAATGGTGAGGTTTTGGTTTCTGATGAAAGCATAAACGACCAGTGGAAGAGCTACCTTCAATGATTTGTTTAATGAGAAGCATGTGAATCTCTCATGCTCCGATCGGCTACACACGAGGGAGGAGGACCAAAACTTCAATTATTATTGAAGAATTAGAGAAAGTGAAGTTAAGGAAGCCCTAAAACAAATGAAAAATAGCAAAGCAGTGGGCCCAGACAACATTCCGATTGAAGTTTGGAAAGGTTAGGAGGAAAAGGCATTTGGTGGCTAACTAAGCTTTTTACCGAGATTTTAAGATCTACGAAGATGCCTAACGAATGGAGGAAGAGCATTTTGGTTCCTATTCACAAGAATAAGGGAGATATTCAAAGTTGTGGAAGCTACAAAGGGATCAAACTTATGAGTCATACGATGAAGTTATGGGAAAGAGTGGTTGAACGGAGGTTGAGACAAGAGACTTCGGTGTTAGAGAACCAATTTGGTTTTATGCCAGGAAGATCGACTACAGAGGCTATATACTTGGTGAGAAGAATGATGGAGAAGTACCAAAGTGAAAAGAAATATCTACACATGGCATTTATTGATTTGGAAAAGGCATATGACAGGGTTCCAAGAGAGGTTTTGTGGAAGGTGCTAGAGAAAAAAGGAGTAAGGATTGCTTATATTCGTGCGATTAAGGACATGTACAAGGGGGCTACAACAAGCGTAGAAGTCAAATTGGGATAACAGAGGAATTCCACATCGATGTAGGATTTCACCAAGGGTCATCGTTAAGCCCATATCTTTTTACACTAGTATTGGATGTTCTTACCAAGCATATCCAAGAATATGTACAATGATGCATGCTTTTTGCTGATGACATCATCATTATGAGCGAATCACGAGAGGATTTGAATGAGAAGTGGGATCCGTGCAGACAGGCTCTAGAGTTGCATGGCTTGTGTATAAGTCGCACTAAAACAGAGTATATGGAGTGCAAGTTTGGCAACAGAAGGGGAGACAGTAACATCGAGCTGAAAGTTGGAGAAAATACTATACCACAAGTAAAGAGATTTAAATATTTTGGGTGTATCATTCAAGACAATGAAAAAATAGAGGATGATGTTCGCAGGATCCAAGCCGGTTGGTCAAAATGGCAAAGCGCTTCGGGCTTTATATGTGATAAAAAAATACCTTTAAACCTAAAGGGCAAATTTTACCGTATTGCTATTAGACCAGCTATATTGTATGGGAGAGAGTGTTGGGCAGTAAAGGGTGAACATGAAGACAAGGTTAGTGTGGCGGAAATGAAGATGCTTCGTTGGATGAGCGGTCATACGCGTATGGATAGAATAAGGGATGAAAATATGAGAGCTAAAGTTCGAGTGGCACCTATTGTAGGAAAAATGGTGGAAACTCGTCTTAGGTGGTTTGGACATGTGGAGAGAAGACAAATACAACATCTCGTGAAAAGGGTTGATCAAATGGTGAATAGGCATGTGGCAGGAGGAAGAGGTAGACCTAAGAGGACTTGGTAAGCATTGATTAAGGGAGACCTTCGCGTGAATAATCTCACGGTAGATATGATACACGATAGGGCGCAATGGCGTCGTTTGATCCATGTAGCCGACCCCACCTAGTGGGATAAGGCTTTGTTGTTGTATAGCTTATTGAGATGCATCAAGGTAGGGTCTCCAAGTGATGGAACTTAAAAACTACATATTTAAAAACTACATCAAAAGATATACGAAGCAAGAGGTGACATCACTATATTATTTTAACAAATAAGTAGGGAAAATAAGTAAAAAAGAGAATGAAGTTTTTGGTAAACAGGCACTTTAATTTGGGGCGGATGGAATACTAAAGAAGCAAGGAAAAGACTGTAGGTGCAAGATCAAGTGTTAGTCCTATCCCACACAAAATGTGAGCTCATATGTTTAAAATATTTTTACTTTAGGAATTGAGGTTTTGTATAACAAGTTCTATGAAATTAAATTGTGATGATCAGGCAAGCTCTACAAACAGGCTCAAATCTTGTTTTTCATGAAAACACTGAGCATATAAAGATTGATTGTTGTGGATAAAATAACAATGTTCTATCCAATGAAATCAACAAAACATTTACCAAATTCAATTATAAACACATAGATATCTACACTAAGTTATTGTGAAAACCTTAACAGTCTATACATGTAACAACCTTGGGCAAGGTTCCCATGACATTGGGAACCAATGTCATGGGATGACCCGGGGGCGCTCCGGTGCCCCGTTCGTAAAATTGACGGTTCCTACCCCCCTAACCCTCCCCGATAAACCCCCCACCCCGCCCCGACCCGAACGCACCCCCCCACCCCCTTCAATTGCACCCCACAAGTTGATTTTGACTTTGGAGTCGACTCCAAAGTCAAA